ACTCGAAATCAAGGAATAGCCTAACGACGGCACCCCCGAGCGCCATGCGCAGTTCCTCAACAACCTGAAGACGAACTTGACGCAGCTGCAGATGATGGCCACCGATTGCAAGAATAACACGCGAGCGCTGGAAGGCATCCAGTACGTGACCGAGCTCCAGGGCAACTACAAGAAGCTCGCGCCGAATACCGCGATGATGGTGAAGCTCGTGGAGGCGCTCATCGTCGTTCCTGAAGCCGACAAGGGGCACGACACCATCGAACAGATGACGATGACCTTCGACGCCATCGTTGACGAGTTCAGCAAGGTCGAGGAGGCTTGGAAGAGGTTCGGCGTGCAGAGCAGCCGGCCCAAGGAGCGCAAGCGCTAGCGCTCGTGAGTAGAATCAGGGACATGCTGAGCTCAGCATGTACATGCATTGCACTCCTCCCTCCTCCCTCCTCCCTGCTCCCCCTCTTCCCACCTCCCTCCGCCCCCCTCCTCTCCCTCCTCCCGCCTGTTTATCCTCCTCCTTCCCCCTCGCCCCTCTCCGCGCTTGACGGGGTAGGTAGAGAGTGCGCGCAGTCCTGGGCGGGGTAATGCGCGCTGAGAGAACTCATTCCACAACTCTTGGGATACCGTTGCATCATGATAATCTCCGAACTCTCGAGTCGGCCTGGAGAGACCGGCTGAAATTGATCGTTGTTTAACCGCAAGTACACGTGCGCCTACAAACAATATTATCACACCACTGTCACCATCCATCATATTCAGCATTGCCACCACCATTGCTACCACCGTCGTCGTCATCACCATCATCATCAGTAGCAGCATCATCATCGTCATCATCATCGTCTCCATCGCATCACCACCACCATGCTGCAGCCTTTTTGGTTTAATGCTTGCGATGATGATTCGGCTCTGCATCTGCTTCCTATAATGAGCTCGGCGATTGGTTCAAGCTCGCTCAAGAGAAGATTAGATCGCGCCAGTGCCGTGCTCGACGCCGCATGCGAAGCGGGGCCCGCTTGCTCTGAGCCGCCGCGCGGGCCTCTGCGTCGAAGGATCGATCGGGTCAGTGGTCAGCCAAGCCAGCCAGACAACTCGTTGCCCCTCAATCGCGTGCTGTTGCGCCGCTGGGCGAACGGAGATCTCTCGAGTGCAGCAGTGTAGGAACATGCAGATGCAGCTATCAGACAAGGATCCCTGGAATGAGCCAGATTGCTTCTGCAGGGACATCTGGGAAACGCCTTCCGAATATCCAGAGCGCGTTATTCAGTTTCTTCGCCCCCCCCCACCCCAGGGTATTCCAACGTGCACTTGGATGCGCGTGCCTTCGGCCTGGGGGTCGCATGCCTCACCCCGTGCTACTGCCTCGCGAATTTCTCCGGTAATCTGTTTGCAGAGAGGCGCCTTCCGTGGGGGCAAGGCTTGCGAGGGCCGCCAGGCGGTGCCCTGAAGTTCTGGACTCGCATCAAAGACTCCCCAACTGCATCGAGTCACCCTTTGCTGCCACTGGGAAACAGGAGCGTGGCGATTCTCCTCGGTCTCCATGGGGGCGGGGGGGCTTTTTCAAAACAAGACCCATTGTTTGTACTATCATTCAACTCGTTGGCGTCTGGCGGCGCTGGTGATGGCTTCACTCGGCTTTTCATCTATGCCATTTTTCGAAATGCAGACATGGTGGGCGGCGCGTTCGATGCTCGGTGGTCTGTCTGTGCGTGGTCAATGAGTCAATTAGTGTGAGGCGTGGCATCAGATACGATTGGGGGATGAAGCCGTGGCCAGGAGGTGGGCAGCTGATTGCAGAGGGCTATCGTGGGGCCCTCTTGCAAGTGCGAGGAGATTAGGAGTTCCCGAACAGCGTCTTCAAGCTTGCTCACTGGAGCGATAAAAAACACTAACTGTTGGGTGTGCCTCGCCGCCCACAGAATTCCAAAGTTGTTCTATGGGGGCTTTGACAGAGATGCTGATTGGCGCGAGACTCGGAAGATGCGCGCTTCGTGGCTAACCGAGGGCGCCAGCACGGGTGAAGATATACCGCTGCTCTTTAAATTGGCCTTCGGGCTGATGCTAAATTGCGTCTCGGCCGACGCGCTGCGCGTGTGCGGCCTTGGTGTCGCAGGCCACGTGGTCGGCATCGACATGGCGTGCTTGAAAAAAGGCGAGGTGGCCTGCTTGATGACAGAGTGGCTGCCCTTGGCGAGGGATGAGTCGAGTGGTGCAGAGCTAGGGGCCAACAAAACATGTTGCGAGGAAAATTTCCATTGGCGCGCATTCGAAGCGAGAGTGGGTCTCCTAAGTTGAAAGCGAAGGGTGCTTCCACGCGAGCCCTTGTGCATTTTGCGTTGGATCTGGCACGGCGTGAAGTCGATTATCAGAGGGTTATAGCCCTCGCGCAGCTTCTCGTCGAATTCTACGACCTGGTTTCTTCGGATGGGCTCTACCTCGATGGCGATGTTGTGAGAAGGTTGGTGTGCATCGGCGGCTTTTTTTCCCAATTGTGTACGTCTCTTTTGCAAGAGACGCGCTCAGCTTAAAGACAAAGGCCTGGAAGATGAGTCAGAAATTGCATATATTCGCGCACTTGCTAGAATGCCAAGTTCCGGAATTTCTTTTCAAACTGGTGTTACGCCGACGAAAACTTGGTCGGCGATCTGGTGGGCATCGGGGGGTCGTGCCATGTTCGCGCGCTGACCGCGGCTTCCCTTAGCAAGTGGATTTTGCGAAATTTCACGGAGGACGGTCCTCCTGTACCGTGTGGCATTGAGCGCTAGCAGGTTGAAAAACGGGCCGCAAGCACGCACATGCGTGTATGTATGTGTATATAGACAGGCTTACGCCGCGTCTACCGAGAGGCCTCGAAAGGCCCCGCGAGGCCCCCATATGTATGTATGTGTATTTTGCATATGTATAAATCTTCAAGTTTACACCATAATCACTAGTATACGGTTGATCGACATTTTGTTAATGACGAGTGAGCGTCTGGGTCGGGCCCACCGTCTCGGATGACGGCGACAGCGACAGTGGCGGTGACCGATGACGCGTCCAAGCCTGGCGGCTTGCAACGCCAGACTGCGATGATTTCGAGTTGATTTTCCGTTCACCCGAGCCGGTTTTCTGTATGATGGGTCCTCTGCTTCTCGTGCCTTGTCGTGTCTTTTTTTGCCTTGCATTCCGTTTGCTGCTTGTCGTGTCTTGTCCTCATTTGTTTTCCCCGTCGGTTTTGTCTCCCCTACCTGCTGCTGGTGTTGCTCAGAGGAGTGAAGGGGCCAGGGGGGTTACGCACTCTTTCAGGTTCAGTGGGCGCAGGGCAGATGCATGTGCGCACTGCGCCGCACAATCGCTGAGCGAGGGGGGGAGGGGGTTTAGGGGCGGGGAATGGTGCGTGAGTAGGAAAAGATGGGGGAACGGGGGACGGTTAAGGACAGACGGGGGTGAGGGGAGAGAGCGAGAGAGAGAGAGAGGCTGGCTGGCACGAAGGGGGGGGCGTCCCCCCGTCGCCTGGGCGAGCCGAGTGTTTTGGGCACTGGGGCCATGTATAGCATCGTCGTACCCATCCTTTCTTGATCGAGGATGGTTGGCCGCCGTCCATTTCCGATCCGCCCCTGTCTGTAGTTGCCGCTGCTCGCCCTTCGCCCTTTGACGACGCCAAGCGTGCTCCCGACCGCAGTCCCTTCATGTTGTGCCCGGTCGTCTTCCGCCCTCGTCTTTTTCTTTCCTCTTGCACGCCGGACAATTCGCACGTCTTTTGCCCCGATTAGCCACACGGTGGAGCGGATTGCTTGTGCCTCGCCGCCGACGGAGAAATGTCCCGCCCGGTCGGGCGAGACGCATGGGTCCTTGGGCTCTACTTCGCGCTTCCTCCCGTGGGGGGCCAGCCCGCTGGCGGCTTGGCCGTGCGTGGCTGTCTCGCCCACTTACCACGGTCGGACCGAGGTGTAAGATAGAGGTCGGTTTGGGAAGGGTGCCCTACAGTGGAAGCCCATGCCAATAAACCCCCTGCTTGCCTTCATGTTGCCCTGAACTCCTTCGGTTTCGATGGATTTGCGATGGAAAACGTGACGTTCCCACATCAAACATCAATGGACGTCCTGGGGTCTCAGGGTTGGGTTTCTCGTGGAAGGTTCCTTGTGATCGGGCTCAAACTGTAATGTTCTTCGTGCTTGTTGGATGTTCTTGCTGGTGGAGGGTCTCGTGTTCTTGGAGGATGTTTTCTGGCGCCTCCCGTTCGAAGTCGTACTGCGCTCCGGGGGCGACACCCCTCTGGCGCCTGACATCTTCAACGCGCCCGCTGCGGCCCATCTTCGTACTTTGGCCCGTTGTTGGGGCACGTTGTCTTCCGCTGTGCGTCGTGGCGTTGCCCGCTGGGGTGCCGCGGCGCACGCCAGCTGCAGTCCTTCGCCAGTCACAGCAGCCGCGGCGCCGTGGTCTGCCAGTGGCTCTCCGTGCCACGGCGGGCGTCCGTAGCCCGTGCCTTCCAGGGACCGGTTTCTTCGTGCCGTGTGCAGCGTCAGCGCAAGCACGGGCGCGTCGGGTGGGGTGGGGGGGGTGGCTGTGAACGCTGGGCGCCCTGACACCGCTGTCCGCCTCGTGCCGCCTGCCTCGCCGTTGAAGCGAAAGAGGAGCGAGAGTCGAGGCTCGAGGTTCGAGGATTGAGGATGGGGGACGCATGGTCGACGAGCAAGGATTGAAGTCTAGGGTCCTGCTCCCTCCTGCTTCCCTGTTTCTTCTCCCCTCGCGCCGCCTCCTCCTTCCTCCCTCCTCCCTCCGCGATGGCGCCCCTTCCCTTGAGGTCCCTCCTCCCTCCTCCCTCCGCTGTGTCGACAGCCAGTAAAGCGAGCGCGTCGGAGGCACAGTCGGTGGTCTTGTGCTGACCCCCGCCTGTGAGCTTTTCTGACACGGCGTCGTCGGGGAGCTGCTCCTGCTCTTGCTTCCTCCCTGTCTCTCACTCCTCCGTCGTCGTCTCTGTCTTGCACGGCTCCCGCGCTTCGCTTGGTCAGCCAGCGGGCCCCGGGGGGAGGCCGGTGAACGTGTCGGCGCTGTCGAAGGTCACGAAGGACGACCTCGGCCTGCTGCCCCAGCCAGTCAAGCCGAGGTTCAAGGAGACGGCTCTCTGGCTGCTTTTGAAGGGCCCCTCCTCGAGGGCGAAGGGTGGGCGCCTCTGCGCGGACGGAGGTCTCTGTTCGGTCATCGTCCTCCACTCGTCTTCCATCCTCCGTTGCCCCTTCTCGTCCTCACTCCTCCGCCCAGCTCCGCATTCCTCACTCCTCGCCCGTCCGTTGTTCCCTCCCCCATCGGCTGCACTGCGGGGCCGAAGCACGGGGACCACGACCAAGATGTCGCGGGATCTTGTCGATGCCGATCTTGGTCGCGGTCCACGTCGGCCGCCGCAAATTCGCGAGGATGCTCCACGGATTGATGCGGACCAAGATCGTCGCTGACCAAGATCGACACGACTTTCCGCGCGGGGATGGGCATACGGGAGGCCGGAGGAGGAGGAGGTGGAGGAGGTGGAGGAGGAGGACGAGGAGGAGGAGGAGGAGGAAGAGGTGGAGGAGGATGAAGAGGAGGAGGAGGAGGAGGAGGAGGAGGAGGAGGAGGAGGAGGAGGAGGAGGAGGAGGAGGAGGAGGCGGAGGTGGAGGAGGAGGAGGAGGAGGAGGAGGAGGAGGAGGAGGAGGAGGAGGAGGAGGAGGAGAAGGCGGAGGCGGGCACAACGCGGTACCCTCTGCCAGACGGCGCTCGTCGGCGTGTACGTCCGCAGCGCGCCCTTCGGCGGCGCCGACAAGAGCTCCAACGGCAGTCGGCTTAGCTGGCGCGGCACCTCCCTCGACGCGCCCCCCTCCCGTGTCCGCCTCCCCTGTCCTCCCGCTCCCGTGCCCGCCTCCCGGGGCCTCTCCCCGCTCCTCCCTCCCTCTTCCCTCCTCGTTCCTTCCCTTCTCCCCCCCTGCCCTCCTCGCTCCCTTCGCCGTCTCTGCCCCGTCTTCCATCCCATCCTCCTTCCCTGCCTTCCCTCCCGCCGAGTCTTCTGCTGCTCCTTGCTCCTCCACCTCTCTCCTCCTCCATGCTCTTCATCCTGCCTCTTTTAACTCCTCCTCCTCCACCCTCCGCCTTCTCCCTCGTCCTCTTCGTCGTCGTCCTCCTCCTCTTCCTCGATCATCCTTTCCCTCCTTTCACTGCTCCTCATCTCTTCCTCCTCCTCTCTTCTCCCACCTCCTCCTCACTTCCCCCTCATCCTCATCCTCTCCTCTTCCTCTCCTCCTCCTCCTCCTCCTCCTCCTCCTCCTCCTTGGTCTCCTTGGTCTTGGGTGCCGATGAAACCTGATCCGATGGTCGGAGCTGCCATGCATCTCTTTCTCCTCCTGTTTGGCTCCTCCTCCCTGGCTCCCCCGAGACCGCTGCTTGTTCGCCGCTTCGCCAGCCCCGGCGGGCCCCATGGAGCGGGGAGACGGACGGGCCCCCTCTCGATCAACGCCCCTTTGCCGCAATATCATCACCCCGCCCCTTCCCCCTACACATCTCCTCCTGCCTCCTCCCTCCTCCCTCCTCCTCCTCCTCCTCCTCCTCCTCTCCTCTCTCCATCCTCCTCCCCTCCTCATCCTCCTCCTCCTCCTCCTCCTCCCTCCTCATCCTCCTCCTCCTCTCCTCCTCTTCCGTCCTCCCTCCTCCTCCCTCCTTTTCCCTCCTCCTCCTCCTCTTCCTCCTCCTCCTCCTCTTCCTCCTCCTCCTCCTGCCTCATCCTTCCGTAGCCATTTTGGCTCAAGATGCATGCACTGTGGGGGCTCCGCGCCTCCGTGCCTGCTCGGATACCGCTGTCACCGCGGCAGGCAAGGCACTTGTGCCTGGCAGTGCTTTTTGGCCTTCACTGTGGGACCTGGGCCCCCACACCAGCAGTGCTTGACCCATCGCGCTCGCATCATTTTGTTGCCTCGGCGATGGAAAGGTCTGGTCATGGCAGTGCGAAGACGGTCATCAAGGCCAATGGGAAACCCTCTCGGGGTGCTCGTGCTTCTTGGGCTGCTGCTTAGCGTGATGGTGCCCCTGTGCCTACCACACCTGGAGGAACCCCCGCACCTACCTTGCCTGGAGGAACTCCTGCCCAGTTCGATCTCGCTGAGGACGAGGATGAGATGTCTGAAGAACACATCCGCTCTATCTGTGAAGTGTACTTGCAGGCTGAGGTCGCATCTTTGCAGGAACAGTTCAAGTCCATGGTCACGACCGCGGTCACCGAGACGGTCCAGCAGCAGGCCTCTTCGGTCACGGCTGCCTTCACACGGAACTTCGATGAGTGCCTCAAGAGGTGCCAGTCCGACTTCGCGGCGATCGGCACCAAGCTTGACGAACATATCACGGCTGCAGTGGCTCCGAAGATTGATGAGCTCCGTCGCGAGCTCACGGAAAGGATCGACGACATCGGTGGCCAGCTCAGGGAGCAGTCGGGACGTCTCGACAGCCATGATGACCTTCTACGGCAGATGGCTGATAAGATCAAGAACCTGGAGGAGGCCTTGGTGGTGGCTAACAAGCAGACCGCTCGCCCGATCCAGATCACCTCGAACCAGTTCGACAGGGGCACGGACGGTGCCATCATTCGCGTCGCAGCTGGACAGCTGGTGCAGAAAGAAGATGTACGCGCAGCTCTCGTTCCGTGGCTTGAAGGTGCAGGCCTTGACGCTGAGAAATATGAGTTGGAGTGCGCTGATCCCCTCTCGAAGCAGTTCGTTCTCAAGTTCAAGGGTGCAGCTGGCTTGGCGTCGCGCCGAGTTGGCAAGGCTCTCCAACGGCTTCGTGGTGCAGATGGAGTCTGGCGTCAATTCCCTGTTCCCGCACGCGGTGGTGGTGGAGAGGTGCGCACTCACGTTTCACAAGACAAGAATCCAAGGCAGGTCAAGCTCGAGATCTTGGGCCGCAAGGCGAAGCTTGCACTTCAGGCTGAGCTCCATGGTTCCAAGGTGTTCTTCGATCGCGATCGTGTCTGGCTGTCCGTGGGCTGGGACGCACTGCGCAAGATCGATCCGAAGCAGGGCCGCGAGAAGGCTGAGATCATGTGGAACCAGGCCACGATCAGGAAGTTGGGTTTGGCAAAGGCGGCCCTCGTCGCTCGTATCGCCCCCATCTTCGAGCCTGGCGCTGAACCTGAGTGGTGTCTTTAGCAGATTTGTGAAGCTGCTGCCGAGGTCCACGTCGCAGGCGCTATGTGATATGAGTTCGGTTGGTGGCATCAATTTCACGACGTGGAATTGTCGGGCGCTTCTCCAGTATGAGGGGAAACATGCATCTGAGAGGCTTGGGTACATGTATAGGCTTCGCCTTGGATCCTCTGTCACTGCGTTTCAAGAGATCCACCAACATGAAGCCCAGCTTAGAACCTTTTTGCAGCGTGTCCTCCCAGGGGCTGTGATGTTTTCGAGTTTCTGTGGAGAGGACCGAGAGGGCCGCATCCGAGGGGGTGTTGCCACCGTCTTCCCTGGGTCCCTGGTGCCAGGTAGTTCGATCCCCTCTCTTCCTCTGGGTGTCTCCTCCTCCCACTATGCTCCCATTCCTGGGCGTGTCTTGCGTGTAGAGATTTCGAGCTCTAGTGCGAAAATCATCCACTGGAATGTGCATAATCATGATTTAACTGCCAGTCAAGTTCGGGGCGCGTGCAAACTAATAACCAGGGATCGGACCGAATCAGAAGCTAATCCTGAGGGCTGTCTCGCTGTTGTCACGGGAGATTTTAACTTTGCGAGTGAAGAAAAATTGTGCTTCGCGCAGCCATCGGAGGCCCAAAGAAACTCTAGGCCGCTGCATGCGCAGGCGCCTAGATGGAGCAAGACACTTGATTCATTTCTCGAGATTTCGCCTGCTGCGGCCACCCACTTTGACAAGCAGGCCGATGCAGTTGCAGCTATTGATCGATTCTGGTGCTCGTGGCCTGGTTGGATGATTGCGCAAATATATTCGTGTGCAAGAGTTGTTGGCAACCCTGAAGAACTATCTAAAGTTAGTGATCATGCTGCTCTGGTCGTCACCTTCCTCCCCCGCAAAGTTCCGAATGAGCTCGACCGTCCTATCCCTAAGCATATCGCTAAGTCGAAGGTGTACCAGAGTGTCTTGGGAAAATATATTGAGACTGAAGAACAACATCTTGGGAATATGTCTCCCTCTCGTCGTCTTGAACGGTATAAGTATCTTATGCAAGAAGCGAGTCGTGTTGCCCGCAACCTCTTGGCGTTCAAGAACCCGCGAGATCCGAGGGCCCTGCTACTCCTTGCCCGTGCCCTTGCTCGCGCTGTTTGGCGCCAAGACTGTTCATATGCCGAGCTGTTGCTGAGCTCGCGCGGAATGGCTCCGGACTTTATTGAGATCCGTGGCCGCGAAGTGTGCTTGCTCCACCCGGCGTCGTTCCAGCGCTGGTCGAACGAAGTGCAACTTAGAGCTGCTGACCTTGATCGTGCTTCGGTTCAGGCTCGTCTCGAACAGGCCTCAGATGTAGGATCGCGTGCTCGTCTTCGTCAACAACTTCAGGCTATAGATCGAAGAGCTCGAATTTGGGTCCCGTTCTCGAGGCGTCTGATACTTCGTGCCGTGGTGGTGGATGGGGCTCGTATGGAGGAGGCTGCTTATCGTGCCGCTGCTTTAACTTCGCATTGGGGATCGATCTTTGCTCGTAAGCCGTGGCCTGCGAAAACTGCCGCTGCCTATGTCGACCGCTTCGTCACCCCCGTCAGTTTTGAAGATTGCCCTCCACCTTCGCTCGCTGCCCTGAGGAAAGTTGCACTTCGTGTTTCTGACTCTGCCCCTGGGGTGGACAGGCTGTGCTACGCGGCGTGGCTTGCTCATCCGTCTGGCCTTGTCTTGCTGCACGATGTTCTTCTTTGGGCACTTGCTGGCAATAGCTTGTTCCTCTCGGAGAATGTGACCCTCCAGGCCTTCTTGCCGAAGGGCGAGCTCGCCTCTGACTCGACCGATGGCGAGTGTGACAGGGAAGCCAATGCTGTGCGTGTCCTGGGGATTAGAAATACCAGTATCAAGCTTGTCACGGCGGTTGTGAACTACTCGATCCGACGACCCCTGGACCGTTTTGTTCCTGGGGACCAGCGCGGCTTCATGAGGGGCCGAAGCTTTTGTATGAACATCTTAGAGGTGGATGCGCTATCCCGTGCACACTCAGCCCGTCCTGAAGCTGATGATGATTGCCCCCGTCTATATGCTCTTGATTATGGACATGCTTTCCGAGCTTGTCGCAGGAGTTTGTATTGCTAGTGCTATCGAAAATGGGATGCCCGTCTGCGCTAGTGGGGCTTGTTTGTACTCTATATGATGCCGTCCAGGGAGTGATTGCGATCCAAGGAGTTCCGAAGCACGCGTTCTGGATTCGGTCGGGGATTATCCAGGGTGATGCGCTTTCGGGATCCCTTTTTGCTGCTGCTCTCTCACCTGCTCTTCGTGACCTTCACGCCTGTTTTGAAAGCAAGAAGCTCGGCATCAATCGAGCTTGTGCTGACGACCTCGGCGGCGCGTTGAAAGCGATGCAAGGCCTGATCCAACTGTATCGAGTCATGAACGTTACTGAGAAGATAGCCCATCTTAAACTTAAGCCTACTAAATGTGTGATTGTGCCTGTTTCTGGGAAGTTCACCCCTGACCTCAAGCAGAAAGTGCAAGCGTTCCTGAACATGTTTATTCCTTCCTGGAGTTCCTTTCGAATTGAAGATAAGCTGTTTTATCTTGGGATGTGGGTTGGTCCTGGGGCTTCTGAATACGATTCTTGGGCTCTGCCGATCTCGAAGTATCGCTCTCGGTGTGCTGCC